TGGCTCGATAGCTGGTTCGCTTCAAAAGAAGAAATGTTTTTTTGGCGTGGCATTCATAAACTGCCGGAGAGGTGGGAAAAATGTATAATTAGCAATGGACATTATTTTGAATAAAATATTTTTTATCATTTTCAAACAACAGACGTGTAATTTTTGCAAAAAAATTCCGGTTTCATACTTCTACACCTAATATAATGTAACATCCTGTATCCTGTAAAGCCCTACATAAATAATTGTCAGTATATATGTATATAGTCCCAACAATAAAATAATTCTTGCATTGTATATACATATACGTACCTAGAAATATATATCTATCAATATAATTTATTCACTTTTGTGCAATAACTAATTTTCATCTAAAAAATTGATGTCATTTGCAAATAAAAAATCAGCTTGAGAAATACAATATCAAAATGCTAAATGTATGAAGAGTAATTTTATATTTTATAGTATATAATTTACTTTTATAGCATATCCTTTTTAATTCTGGACAAACGCTTTTTCATTAAAACACAGACATGAAAAAAGAATAAAGCGATGTTGAATAATTATAAAGGTAACCTGTGATCTCCGCAGATACAAATTCGCTTCCTGAAAATGCAGTTCCCGGTAGATTTTTGTTCCCTTTTTCAATTGGCCCACATTCCACGAGCGGTAATTACAACGCGCGCCGACGCGAAGGCGATCATTATCGGTTACGCGATATCCGTTATGCACCGCAGACTCGAAAGTGCAACGTAACGCAATCGATATCACTTAGCAGGCGGGTCTTTTACGAGCACGAGGCATCCGTACGAGTGACACAGAAAAACTTTCCGACGACGGAAATTAGGCGAGGCGGCGTCAAACGCCAGCCGATTAGGCCCCCCGCGGGAATCGTCGTCCTCCTCCTCTTCCTCCTCGTCGTCGTCTTTCAACTTCGATTGTTCCCGCGAATTCGTCGACCGGGAAGAAATTCCATCCGGAGGAAGCATACGAAGAACACGACTCGCTCTGTCGCGGGATTAGTGCGTTTTCCGCGACGACGCGAGTTTCCTTGTTTGAACTGCATTCGCCTGATACTCGCCTCTAATGTAAGACGTCGTTTCGACGACGACGACGTCGTCGTGGGCGACGTGAAGTTCACCGTCGCAGCTCCCGCTCGCCGTGTCTTATTTACAGAATCCCGCGACGAAACGTTCTGTCGTTCTTACCAGCGGCTCCGCTTCATTGTGCGAGCTCGTCGACGCGAAACTACCGCTGGCAAGATGTAAACTTGCATTCCCCTTGCTCTCTAAGAGAACGCACGACGGAGGGAGGATAGTATACGCGGCAGATCCGCGGGACAGTCGCGACGACGCGAATCTCCGTGAACGAGCGAGTATAAAATTGACTTTGAGATTTCCACACGTCGCTTTCCCCGCGAACAGATCTCTATTTTCGCAAAGAGAACGTAGATACGTGATATGTGACAGTTATTCGATCGTTTTCGCGGGAATCGATTTATCGTCCGTTCTGCCGATGACGTGGAACCTTCTAGCTATTGCTGTAAATGCAAACGCTAAAAATACTGAAAGGAAAGATACCTCATGATCCTATTACGCTATTACGTTAAATGCTCTTCGTCCAATTGTTCTTAATTGTATTGTAACCTGTTAAAAAAAATTATATCGCGGTAGATACGGCGGAAAAGAACTAATTTACCGGCATGGCAAATTTTACGCTGTCGCAGCAAAATCTGTCAGTTATTATGCGGACGGCAAAGCGATTTATTATGAACACTAATTCGTTAAGAATACATTCGCTGGATTATTTTGCGGAGTCTACACTGAGAAAGTACTTAAAGATTTATTTGTGGGATATAAGGTTTATTTCTATGAATTGAAGCTTACGTCCCACGAATAAATTTTTAAATACTTCTTTCAGCGTGCAAATTATTTTGTTATAAGGACAAATTAACAAACGTAGGAAAATATTATTTTGTTCTAACAGTAAATTAACACACGTCCCAAGTTCACTCGACAAACTTTTCCTATCTTACCGACAGCAATTGTTTCCGTTGTAACTACGAATAACTCACTAATTCGATTATGCCGGCTAAATTTTATCGCTGTCGTGACGAATATGCAGAAGCAACAATTGTTTCGCTACAATAGCAAAATTATTTATCTCCGTATAAGTTTATGTTAGTCATATTGTATTTTTTCGTGTCTTCGTATCCGCGGTGATATATTGAGAATTACAAATGCTTCATTAATGGTTGGGTTTAATAGCCAACATAAGCAGCGCAGTAACATACGGCTTCCGACAAATGCATGCGCATAGGAAATGAACTTTAAGACGATATTATTCATGTGTCTACACGGAAACATCCTTCTGTGTACAATGGAAAGTCCTGTTACAGTCGAGAGGGCACCACCGTACAAGGCGGGCAGGTACGCCAGGTCCTTCGAATAATGCGTGAAGGACCTCAAACTGGATCGGCTACGGAAAGCGGACATACCAGCAGAAAGTTGATCCGAGCCCTAATAGATCATCGCTTCATGGTGAACGGAATGATGAATATCGCACGATATTCCAACATCGGATCGCCCTCCTAGTTCGACCCATTTAATTTCATCGCGAATCCATTATGACGAAAGGCGAATGTGAAAGTTCAAGTGTGAGCCTGTCGAATAGAGTGAATTTCATAATTAGCGGCAGAATAACCTTGTCGTGAAAATTAATTAATAAACTAGCAATACACGTATCATGCTAAATAGATGAGATTTATTTTGCTCGGAAAAGTTCCAACACATTTGTGATGTACCAATTGTATTAAACTTTTTAAAATTAATAATGAAATTTTAATTAATTTATATATTTCTCGTGAAAGCGATGGAAGTGCCATTTAACGACATGTAACTTATTAAGGAAAATAGATCGCCACGAATTGGGACACTGCCTCTATAATTGGTACATTCATCCAATTCGGAGCTTGATCAATCCGTCGTATCGATTCGGTTCATGTTTGAGTTAATTGGAGCATGATTCGAGAGTCCTATCGCCCGCCGCGAGTTACCGCGAATTAATAAAAAGGGTATCGATGCGCAATTCAGTGGGAATTTCGAACGAAAATTTCATCGGCCGGTGAAAAACAAACAGATGACCCCCCCCCCGATTGCAGAGCGGGACCGCTGGGGGGAGTCGCCGGCGGATCTTCGCGAGGATCGGAACCGGAGAACAAGTCGGCGGTACGTCCGAATTCGAGCCTCCCCACCGCACACGCTTGACGTGAGCGCATCGAATGGACGAAAAAAACGCCGCACGCTCGCTCCCCGCCCCCTGCGCGCCCGCTTTTCACCCCCGATTCCGGCGGGTTCACCCTCGTGAAAGGAGTCCGCCGCACGCATCCGAAGAAAGAAGAGAAGCCGGCCGACACTGGCGGGTATACACACACATACACACACCGAGGGAAGGTAGAGAGAGAGGAGGGGGGGGAGGGATCGCCAACGCGTCGGGCTCTGGTAGGGGAAGGCTCGGGGTGGGGGACAACGAAGCGGTGGAGGGCGAACGACCGAGAGCTCGGAGCTGCGGAGGAGCGCACGGACGCAACAGTGTGCCGCGCGCGGCCATGAAACGAGGGTCGTTTCAACCGGACGAGCCAGGTAGACGGCAGAGCGAGTCGCCCGAGGAGTCGCCGCGTTGAGCCCGAGAGCTTAGGGGGGCTTAGAGGCGCGCGCGCGAGTTCGCACCAGGGTGCTGATATTAATCCCACACGTGCTGCCACGCTCGCAAGTCGCAAATTCGAGCGGCGAATTCCGCGGCTGAAGTCCCGGAGCCTCCTCGACGGTTTTTTCGACGCGTACTTACCGCGGTGTGACAGTGAGAGAAAAAAAAAGGAGAGAGAGAGAGAGACGGTGCGGCTCACATCGGCGATCTCGCTGCGTCCTCTCGACGGAATCGGGGGGGGGAGGAAGTTACCCCGCTGCTACGGCGACACGTGAACGGAGGATGGTGGAATTTGACGCCGGAGCGAACGTGAAAATCGAGTCCAACAGTGAGTGAACGTCGGGGTGAGATTTTTCGTGAGTGAAAGAGAAAAAGAGAGGGAGAGAGAGAGAGAGAGAGAGAGAGAGAGAAGGGAAATGGTGGCGGTGCGGTGGTGAAAAATAGCGTCGCCGGGGAATAACGGGCTGAAAAAGAGTCTCAGGCCCGGCACGCAGTGTCGATGTTCGCGCGGTGCGTTTTGTCGGGAATGTCCGGGTGGTGGTGAGTGATCGCGAGGAATTTTTCCGCTCGGTAACGCGCTCGGTCGAATTGAATCCGGCATCGGCGGCCGCGGATTCTCGCCGGTCGCGGCGAAGAGAGTCCCCGGCGCGAATGTTCCGCACTTGCCGACTCGCGGACATGAGGAGGAAGATTCGCGCGGAAGAACCGTCCGCACGGATTCGCCGCTACGTTCTCCGCGCTCACTACGAGAGAGGTTAGAAAATCCGGCGGACCTTCGAGCGAAGTCGTCTCGAAGTCGTTGCGATACGACGGCATTCATCGGCGATAAGGGAGGCCGGTGTCCCTCTTTTGTGCGTCTTTCTCCGAAGTGCGCCCGAGAAAGTGTGACCAATGTGCTACGGAGAGTACAACACACCGTGAATCAAGTCCGTTCGTCCACAAGAGACTCTTTGCTTCCCTCCCTCTCTCGTTCTGAAACGCGCACTTTTCTTCCCCGTCCGTCCGTCTTTTCGAAAGAGATGCAAAAGTGCTAGCCGAGTCTGCCGACCAAGTTTACTGACCTCCTCCGGCGGGGTTGGTGACTGTCGTTCGTGCGCGCGCGAGAGAGAGAGAGAGTGACGAAGGGAGACGCGGCCAGACGGGCTTTTGTGTCGGCCTGAAGAGCGTCTCACCGGGCAAACAGGGTGAGATTACCTTCCTGGGGCTGCGTGTGGCTCTTCTCCGCGACTCTGTCGTCCGCGGGGATCAGTGTTGAATCGTCAGCTGCGTCACACGCTCGTCGTCGCGATCCCGAGTGCATGGTGGCGAGTGGCGAGGAAATCGCGCGGCGTGCATCGCACGCGGAGAGCGCCGACTGTCCGCGGGTCGACAGGAGCGAAAACGGCGGAGGGGCCGCGGCTCTGGCTCGCGTCGTGAGGAAAAGCGTCGCGCGGAGAATCAGTGGAAATGCGCTCGTAGCGAACCGACGTCGCCGTCGCCGCAATCGGATTTCTTCCAAGGTAAGCGAGCGCGCGTTCGTCACCTCCTCCGACGGCGGCCGACGGACGGTCGCGCCGCCGGTTACTCGTTCCCCGAAAACGGAGTCAAAGTTTCGTTACTCTCGTCTCTCGTCGATGAATCACGAGTATGGAGAGCCGCGCAGGAAGCGAGAGTTTAGCCGGCGATGTAATTTGTGAAATTAGAAAGTGCGGAAATGGGGAAACCGGGGGAACGCCCGGTGAGCGGGTGCGGATGGTGACGTTTGTCGTGGGGGATAAAAAATAGTTAGGAGATAACTGCACGCTCTGTCGTCGGAAAGACGCGGATTTCCGATCGGCGCGCGTATAACGGAGAGCTTTCAGACCACGTCGTGGTTCGAATGTGATGAGAACGCGGCGACGTGTGCGTAAAGGGTGCGAGCGACACTGCCGGCGCGTGTGTGTGTGTGTGTGTGTGCGAATCCATTTAAATAAAATACAAATTAAAACTTCGGCAACTGTGCCGCATTTCCGCGGTGAAAAGGGCGGTCCGGAAACGAACGCCAATATCCTCGCAACAGATATCCGTGACGGATTTTCGTCGCGGCCAAGGACGCGCGTGGTTTTTTCCGCGGGATGAAAAGGAAGCGCGTTTTCGCAAAAGAGGGAAAAAGGAGGGAATTAAAAAGTGTCTTTTCGCGCGCGCGCGAGTGTGAATTCCGCGCGTGTCACGTGCGGCGTGAGCGTTTCGGAGCGGAAAGAGAGACCAGCGTGCCCGCTTTTTCGGAGCGAATCTCCTCCCTCCCCTCCGCCTCCCCTCATCCCTGCCTTCCTTTTTCATGCAACCCGGTGCAAAGAGGATTACTTCGGATCCGCTCCTAAAAGCATCTCGACGAGCTCGGCAATTTCTATCGCGGGGAACGTTTCCTCCTCACGCGGACGCCCGATTGACCCGCTCGCAGCGCGAATTATCGCGCTATCGATCGCGGATTTGCGATATCTCGCGATATCCGAGATCCCTTCCGATTCGCGCGGATTAATGAGCTCTCCTTTCTCGGCCGATGATTTCAAGCGGGCTCGGCGTTGGTGACGGCACGTGAAAATTGCTCGATCGAAAGACCGAATACGACGATCGAATACGAAATCGAGAGATCGAAAGATACGAAGAAGTTACCGCGAAATAGTGAAAATAGTGGGTTGTGATACGAATTTTTCCGCGAACGGCGGACAAGTGCTAGCACGGATGGTAAAATCGAGTGCGTAGTTCGCGAGTTCTTCCTCATCCGCGTATGCTTCGGCGCGACGTCGCGGGCAATTCACGAACGATTCGTTCAGGACGAGCATTGCGAGCTTAACAGCGCACAATTAAGATAAATGCGCGCGACGATAGGAGAGGATAATATAGGAAAACGGCCGACGTTCGCGCGCGTTCGCCCTCCCCGGCCTGTTTAACGCCTGTCGAATCCGATAATAACCGCTCGCTCGCTAAGATTCCGTCGATCTTCGGAGCGTGTGTGTGCGGGAAAGCATATTTCCCGAAGGGAAAAGCTGGGCGGACGATAAAATTTTACCGCCGGCGACCGAGGAATATCGGCGAGGTTTTAACGCATCGCGACCGCGACATCCGCCGCCGTCTTCTCGTACTTTTCATCGACTCGAGTTCGAAAGAAAGAGAGAGAGAGAGAGAGAGAGAGAGCTACGCCGGAAAATCTTGATGCTCGAGTGGAATTCAGAAACGTTCGTCTCGCCGCACTGTGCCGCGCCGGAAAATCCAACGCGGTCGCGGAATTTTCGTCGCACATCGCGAACTCGCTCGCCAGGGCGATACACGATTCTACGTCGCGGAAATCCCCTCTCGTCATTTTTGCGAATTGCGTTACGTCATGCGCGCCCGTCTCGTCCGCGACAAAGATTCTCCGGTTCCCCGCTCACCTTCCGTACGTTAATTCCGCGAGTGCATTCCAGCGACGGGAATTTTTCTCGTTTCGACTTCATCGAACGCGTTTCCCGCGCGTGCGTCCCACCTTCGGCTCCAATCGCGATTTCTTGTTATTTTCTTGAGTGCATCCCGGCGACGGGGAATTCTTCCCCGTCCGTCGACGAATTCGAGTGTCTCTCGCGTTGCGGCGTTTTTTCAGGGAAATCGCGGGGAATTTCGTGGTCTTTTTTCCGCTCGACACGAGGCGAAAAAAATTTTCCGATAATTCTCGCCGCGCGAATTACTTCGATCGTCTCGCGGGAGCATTTTCGAAATTTGCACACGCATTTTACGACCCTCCCCGACGTTCGATGTCGCAATTTGTTACCTTTTGAAACTAACTCGACCACGGACACTTCCTTCGGCTTGCTACGGCGCTTGGCGATTCGCGATGTATTCTTGGAGCTCGCAAAAATTGCTGTGCGCACCTCACATCTTCGATCGTCCAACTCGAATCGCGAGTCCTTGTTATTTCCCCGAGTGCATCCCGACGATAAGAATTTCTCGCCTCGACACAGTTTTCCCGACGACGCCGGTATCGTGCACTACACACGCACGAAATCCGCGAAAATCTCCGCGGACGTTACGTCTTCGATCGAATCAAGTACCGAGTCCTTGTTATTTTCTTGCTTGCGTCTCGGCGACGAAGATTTCTATTTCACCCGGCCTTCCGGCAAAACACGCGGAATAAGCGAAAATTATTGCTGTCGAGGTGAAAGAAAATGTTAGAGATATGTGGGACGGAATTTTTTCAGACTTTTCTCCGGGAAACTAAAATAACTACGTATCATCGATCCAAATCGAACAAGTTTTAATTCACTGCAAATTTCAATGACATTCGAAATTCTCGAAGAATAGATAAACGATTTGACGAAATTTAAATAACGATGACGACAAGTGAATATTTTTGTTTTTCCTTTTTTTTTTCCACGGTGAAAAACCATCTCTATTTTCGTTCGTTCCTGCGAACTCTCTCATGACATTTCGCGCGGCGCAACGCCGCAGTTGATCGAATTCGCGAGACCGGCATTTTTTCGCGGTAAACGTAATACGATACCTTTACATCCGGATCCAATATACAGCGCCAGACATCGAGAAGGAAAAGAGGCAAGTGGAGAAAGCCGCGGGATTCAACGGGATAAACAAAGAAATAGGAAAAAAGGAAAAAACAGTCGAGACCGCCTGTGGTGGAAATTCGCACGCTGTATCACGAATAGCGTTAACATTTCAGACCCACCGGATGTCAGTGTTCCGAATTTTCACATGTAAAGCAAGATGTAAAACAAGATGTAAAACAAGATGTAAAACAAAATGTGAAACCAAACGTAAGACGCGTCTAAAATTGACGCGTTTAACGGATATATTGTTCATAAGTCAAAATAATGGAAAAATGACGAATTGATCAACATTTGAAAATGATACCCAAAATTTGACAATAATTCAGAACCTGGATCAAAAGTTATTCTACCTTAAAGGAGGTTGAAAGGTAAAACGAGTTTGGTAAGAATTCGGTGAAATCTGCATATACATTGAAATATTATCTAACTCATTGCTCGTGCAATTAGAAAAAAATTGACCATTCGAGAGCCGAGATATTTGTAACTAAAGTTGATACTTTTTATACGTGTTCCTTGAAATTAGCGTGATATTTTTAATTTCTATGTTCAATATCTTCTAAACTAATAATAAAATTTTAACAAAAAATAACTATTATGATATTAAAGACATACACAAATATTATATACAAGTTTTAGTTTTCAGAATTATTGACTATTTTATTTTGGAAATACAGCGGTGTAAAGTTCATAACTGTAAATACTTGGAATATATATGTACAAACATTTAAACATTTATATACCTATTTCTTATCTATATATCTCTATTAGATAAATTGCACGAAAATAGTATTAANNNNTATATATATATATATATATATATATATACTTTAGTTTCAATTAACATTTATTATTTAGATAGTGAAATAATATAGGAACGTAATTTTGATAAACACAAAATTTGCGAGTGGCTCCCTCGATGCGCCATTGAAAATACGGTATAATGAGCGAAACATCTTTGAGTATCTCGCGAATTAGATCGCGCTCGCTGACTTCCCCGTCAATCGCGAACTTTCTGCAAAAATATAATTACACCGCAATCCCGCGATTCTCGTCGAATAACAGAACACTGGCCCAGTGATACGATATCAAGCTTGTTCCCACGACGATCCCGGTCAAGTTGCGACCTAGCTCGAGTCTAATCTCTCTCGACGGTCGTCACTCGCGACAGGACGCGCGCGCCGAGTTCCTTCCTCCGTGGGGAAGAAACCGCGGAACCGTCGCGTATGTCTTCCCGGCGCGCGGATTCTATTCTCGGATTAAAGAGAGTTACGGGGCGGAGAGTCGGGTCGAGCACGCGGGGATGAGCTCGGAATTAATCCCGTCGCCGCGACGGAATCCCGGATCCGGGAGAGTTTATAAGTGTGACTGCGGCTGACAGTTATTGGGGACACGGTTATGGGGGTCGCCGAATGGGTGAAAATGCGAGAACGGTGTCCCGCGGCCTCCTTCGGCCGAAGCGCGCCGATATCAGTATGTGTGTGTCCTCGTAAGGGTGCCGGGAATAGAGTGCATGTTCCTCGTGGAGAAAATTACTATCCTTCCTCTCCCTCTCTCTCTCTCTCTTTGTCTCTCTGCGCCTCTCCGGCGCTCGTGCCAGAAGCGATTTAGCCAACGACGCCGGAATCATCCTGATAGTTCCTGACGGCCAACGGGCGGATTGAAAACAACGTCGTTCCCACATATCGCCCGGTCGTTATCCTGTAGGGAAATCCTCCACGTCGGCGAGAAACGACACATGTCGACGGAAGTACGTCGTCGTCAGCGGGCCTGCGCCCTTACGCCGCTGAAACGAGCACCGAGCTCGAATTTCCGGGGAAAGGGGCTATTTCGCCGTTACACTTCTTAGAGCGCGATATGGATAATCCACTCGCCGGGGGATAATGCGAGACGCCGCTGTAACTCGAAGGATTAATTCCGTGATCGAAAATTTCGATAACGGCGAGTAC